CTTGGAGTACGTGCGTCGGAGTCTAGCGTAGGAGCTGCGCTGTGCCATCTCGCTCCCCCTTCATCCTCCACCTCCATCTCTGTCCCAGACGGAGCACCACACCTGGTGGGTCCGCCACACTGGTATCGGAGCAGGAACGTTCCCCACTCCCACCCACCACACCGCACAGCAGGGAAAATGGCCAAAACCTGACAGTGGGTTTTTTTACTGTTTTTTGGCCGTTTGCAGCAAAAAAAAACAGCAACATCGTGGCGAAAAAGGAGCTGCCGTCACGATGCGTGCGCGAAGGCCAAGGCCGATTCACACGCCACGTGCCCACGCTGCCCCGCCCTGCTCCGCTCTCCTCCCGGATTTATTTATCAAGATCTGAGATGCATGTTGCTGCCAGGGTTTGAACCTGGCCAGCTGCTGGTTATGCGCGTGTGTAGCCACCTCCATAACACACTGGCCACAGTGTACATATGGTTTAGTAAGGCGGCACGCTGGTGTTGAAGACATGTCGTGCCAGCTATTTAACCCCCCCCCCCCCCCCCCCCCCCCCCCTGTCGACACCATGGCTGCTGCTGCCTGTGGCCGTGGGCATCTGCAGTGCCACATGCCAAGCCGCTGTGGACCGTGAAGACCACCTGATTACGGGCTGCTCTACAGGGGTGAGGGTCTGCTCACACAGCACACCCTGGATCTGCCGTGCTGCTGCTAGGGGCTGATCAAGATCTTAGCCCCCTCTCTCCTCCAGTTGGCTTGCTGCAGTGAAGGCCAAGACCCTCCTGGTCCTGGTATACCTTGTGCCCTTGGAGACACCAAGGGCCAGGTATCATCCCTCTCTCTTCCCTCTCCCTACTAACCCACTTTCTCTACCTTTTCTCTCTCCTCTTACTCACTTCCTCCTAATTACTCTTCTCTAACCCCCTCGACTTCTTCCTCTTCTGCCTCACTCACTTCCGTCTAATTACTCTCACCACTCACACCCCTCTCCCCACCCCACCTTTTCTCCCACCACCCACTATTTTACTCTATTTTATTCATTCGTTTTCTTTTCTTTCTCCTATTTTCTCTTTGCTTCTTGATCCCTCCCCACCTTTCCCATCCCTTTCTCTCCCATTCTCTCACCCTCCTCTCCCCCAACTACAACCCCATCACTTCCCCCATCTCCCTCTTCACTATTTTTCTCTCTCACCTACTTCTCCCCTTTCTCCTTCACTTTTTCATTCCCCTTTCCCCCAACTTCGAAATTTTCTGTTTTTCTTCTTTTCATCTTTCTTTTGATTTATATTTCCTCCTTTTTCCAAAAATTCGAATTATCTCATTCCCCACCTTCTTTTCTCATTTTCTGATTTATTTCATTTTCCTTTTTATTCATTCTGAAAATTCAATCTTTTTTGCGGCACCCTTAAATCTGATTAGGAGTTAGTCATCTTGCTTTCGGCACACATTTTGACCCCGTGGGGGTAACGAAGTGCTGCTGAAATTTTCTCATTTCACTTAGCCTTTCTTCTTGACAGCACACTTCAATCCCATGGGGGTAACGAAATGCTGCCGAAATTTTTGAAAAATCAGACACTTCATTTCTCTTCACCTCCTCATCGACTTATTTATTTATTTATTTATTTATTATTTCTTTATTATTTCTTTATTTATTTATTTTCTGAAATTTTTAATTTGCAGCATTTTGAAACTTAGTGTGCTTCTCTTGGTCTCTCCTTTCCCTTGGCACATTCTTGACCCCATGGGGGGTCGGGAAATGCTGTCGAAATTTCCAAAAATATATATATTATTTCTCTCTTCACATTTTGTTTACTTATTTCTTTAATTATTATTATTTATTTATTTATTTATTTTCACTTTTCTCTCAAAATTTTATTGTTTATTTATTTTTCTTCCCGCCTCCCCCCCATGTTTGCTATTTTATTTTTTTGATTAGGTCATCGGTACCCTACCCTAACCACTCAAACCCCGGTTAGGGTTTTCTTAGGGTTTTTCTAGGGTTTAGGGTTTTCCTAACCCCCCCACTCCTCCTTTCCATTCGGGCACCCTGGACCCGAACCACCCTTCCCCCTTTGCGGGCGCCCGTGCTCGACTCACTAGCGCCGCCCGTCGCTTTCTACCGCGCCCCCCCCCCTACGCCCTCCGCTCACGTGGACCTCCTCTGGCCCCCTCTTGTCCGACCCGTCACCTTCCCATGGCCGACGGCGTGTCACAAGCCGCGGACGCGGCGACGACCTCGACACTGGGCTCCATACCTGTGCCGGCGGACCAGGGTTATCAGCCCCAGGGGGATCCGCACACCCTCCTCACCTCCCTCCTCGCGCCCATCCACGCGCAACTGGCGACCCTTGCGCCTCTACAGGCGCAGGTGGCGACTCTTGCCGCTGGCATGTGGCAACTCCAGGATGCTCCCGTCCTTCCTCTCCCAACTCTCTCTCTTCCCTTGGCTCCCAGTCTGGGTTCCCCGTCCTCCGACATGGTGGCCACGACGAAGCTTCCTCATCCCCCGCCCCTGACCCGACCATTCTGATGACCGTCCACGCTCCTAGCGCGACGGTCGCCACGGGCCAGACCCTCCCTCACTCTACGGCCGCACCCACCCAGATTCCGGTCACTACGGCCACGGGACCACAACCCGCTGCCGTGGTCTCAGCTTTTCCGGGTGCCCCGCTTCTCCCTCCCCTTCGCACGACCGCCGTGCCATCTGGCTCTCCCCCCTATGGGATGCCCCGCGCCGCTCGTGTGTCTACTTCCCCCACTCCTCCTCTCCTACTTCTCGCTCGATCTATGTCCGTCGTCTCGAGGAACACCTTGCCCAGATCCGGGCCGACCTCGTCCTTTTACGCCTTCAACCACCCCTACCCTCACAGGTGGCCGCGCCTTCGGGTGCACCCCCTTCTTCCTCTACTCTTCCTTCCATGCAGGCTCGCTTCCCTCGCCCTACACCCTATCCACCCCCATCCTACCTTCTTCCTATTCCCTCGGTTGCTGCGATCTCTTCTACCGCAACTCCCTCGCAGCCTGCTGCTGTTGCCCCCACCGCTCCCCCATGCGGCCCGGGCGTACAGTCAGCTGCGCCCCTTTCTCCAGGACCTGTGCCGACTTACTCAACCGTAGCACAGACCTCTGCTCCTCGATCCCCTCGCCGCCAAAACGGTGGCGCGCCGCTCGTCCGCTTGACGGACATTGCCTTGTACGACGGTACAGGTATACGCGTGTCTCGATGGCTGCAGTCTGCTACCCGCATGCCCCAGCTCATGGGCGCTCCACCGGACACGTGGGTGGCTCACCTCTCCACGCGCCTGCGTGGCGCACTCGAGTATGGTTAGCAGGATGTTGTTGCCCCTTTGTCGCCTGAGGGTGACCATAGCGATGACCTTGACCTCTGCGAGGCCGTCCACTACGACCTGGAGGACTCTACCCTCCCTATAAACGAGCGCCTCCAGCTCTCCCTCTCCACCCTCTCTCGGGCACGCAGCCGCCCTGGTCATGTTGGCGCATTGCCCCCTGAGATCCCTCAATAGGACCTCCCTCAGGGCTTTGTCCCTCCTCGCGGTGTGTTTTCCACCGAGGAGCGCACGACCATTTTGGGCTGGTGTGGGTGTTTGCGATGCTGCCAGGACGGTCGTACCTCCTTGCGGTGCCCTTACACCGCCGCCCTCGACCGCCACCACGTTGACCTTTCCCGCCAGCGTCGTGCTCAGTCCCCCCCCCCCCGCGCCTCGCATCCCCACGGCGCCTCCTAGCCACGGTGCAGTGTACACCTGCGCCCTCCTCAGTAGTTGGCTTCCCGACATCTCCGTCGTGGTTCGCCCCTCTCGCTACTGGAGCTGAGGTATCGACCCGACAAAGTGTACTCAGCCCTCTGTCGCATTACTGTTTGTGCTTCCGCAAACCACCGTCTCCCCTCCTGCCCCTCCGCGACTATCGACGCGTCGAGCCATTCGCTCAGCCCGTTGCAGCGAGCAGCTTGCAACTCGCGAGGACGTTGTGTCCTCTCTTCTGGACTTGAGCATGCTCCAGGCTCGTCAGGAGCGACTCACCCTCCATGTCACTGCACTGCGTCGCCTTCTCACCATCGTCTCTGACCCTGATCACACCCTCCTGATCATTCCAATACGACTGGGGACCTCCACGAGGGTGTACTCAACGCTGTGGGATTCCGGTTCTCAGGGTGACTTCATTCACCCACGTGTGGTGAAAGAAGCCCGCTTACCCACAACAGGGTCTCTGACTCCCATCTCTGTCACCCAAGGGGATGACAAGACCTAGCGCTTCTTCGATCAGACGGTCACCGACCTCCCTTTCTTCCTCACTCTCGAGCCGACTCATCGTCCCCCGGCGTCTTGTCGCCACCGCTGCTCTGCACATTTCGATGTGATGGAGACGGGGTACGACTTCATTCTCGGTATTCCGTGGTCTCGTCGGTTCCGCAGCACCGAGGCCGATTGGGCGACCAACACTCTCGTTCTTAAAACGAAGTGTGGATAGAAGTATCGCGTACCTTTCATAGGTACCACCGCGACACCACGCCCTGACCCTCCTCCCCCGGAGCCTTCCGTGCCCACACCATCTCCTACTATCACCGTCACCTCGCCTCGGCAGTTCGCTCACTTCATCCGACAGGACGACGTCACCTTCTTTACGCTGACCGTTACGGATCTCTTGCACTATGATCCACCCTGTCCCGACGCCGAGCTCATCTCTCTGGAGCCTGATCCTCTTATCTCCATGGCTCCCATCTCTGCTTCCCTCCCTCTGTCGTCCGTCGAGTCCACCCCGCCGTCACGAGCTGATGCTGACGTTGACGAACTCGCACGCTATACGGCCGACCTGGAGCCCGCAGTTCGTGACCTCATTCAAGAGTACCACGATGTTTTCCCATCGTCGTTCTTGTACGCCGGCATCCCACCGATGCGCGATGTCGAGCATTCCATCCAGGCACCCTATAGACTCTCAATCCATGAGGCTACCGAACTCGAGCGTTAGCTTGAGGAGCTCCTGAGACTGGGCTTCATTAAACCCAACAACTCCTCGTGGGGTGGCCCTGTCCTCTTTGCTCACAAAGTGGATGGAACTCTTCGTCTCTGCATTGACTATGGCGGTTTCAACCGCTACACGGTTAAGAACAACTACCCCATGCCTCATTCCGACGAGTTGTTCGACTGCCTAGCAGGCAACCGCTTCTTTACGAAGATTGATCTTCGTAGCGATTACCATCAAATCCGCGTCGCGGACCAGCCGAAGACAGCGTTCCGATCGCGCTTCGGCCACTACGAGTTTACGGTGATGCCATTCGGCCTCACCAACGCACCCGCTACCTTCCAGAGGGCGATGAACGACATCTTCAGGGACATCCTGGAGCAGTATGTTCTCGTCTACCTCGACGATATCCTGATCTACAGTCGTACCCTTGAGGAGCATCTCAGACACCTCCGCGGCGTCCTTGACCGCTTGCACAGACATGGCTTCTACGCCAAGCTGTGCCGCTTTGCCCAACACAAAGTGGATTTCTTAGGACACTACGTGTCTGACCAGGGTCTCCACATGGACGACGCGAAGATCACTGGTATTGCGGAGTGGCCCGTCCCCACATCCGCTAAGCAGCTTCGCAGCTTCCTAGGACTCACTAGCTACTATAGTAATTTCATCCAGGGATACGCTAGGTATTCCTACGTCCTTMCCTCCMCCCTCCTCCGGAAGAACCCGCCATGGGCTTGGACACCCCTCCACGAGGACGCCTTCCGCGCCCTCAAGAAGGCGGTGACATGTGCACCGGTTCTTCACCTACCCGATTTTGATCGCCCTTTTATCCTTACCACCGATGCGTCAGACTTTGCTATAGGAGCAGTGCTTTCTCAGATTTTCCCCTCCTCTCCTGATTCCTTTCATCCTCGCATCCCTCGCTTCCCACCCCCTACCCCTACCACTGCTTCGCGCCTGGCGCCTACTCGTCCAGCTACCGACGAACCTTCTATTGACTATTCTCCTACCATCGCTGAGGACGGCACTGTCGAGTCTCGCTCAGGTTATTGCCCGATAGCCTTCTACTCCCTTCAGCTCTTGCCCGCCGAGATAAACTACACCGCTGATGAACGTGAGGTTCTCGCAGTAGTTTATGCTGCTCGGCACTCGCGTCACTACCTCCACGGGGCACCATCCACGGTGCGCACGAACAACTTTGTTGTCTCGGCTTTTCTGACAAAGCCGAAACTCACTCCTCGACAGGCTCACTGGTGGTGCGACCTATCCGAGTTTAGTTTCACCACTGAGCACATCAAGGGTGAGACTAATCGAGCCGCAGATGCCTTATCCCGACGCCCTGACCATGATCAGGAGCAGATCCAACTCGCTGCCATCTCGGTCACCACCGTCCACCACTCGGTGATCGACGCATTTCGCACTCAGTACCACCACTGCCCCGACTATCGCGACATCCATGCGACCCTTCAGAGTGGCAAGACCGTCCTGAACTACTCTCTCGGGGACAACGGTCTTGTGTACTGGCACGGTTCACAGGACACTAGAGAGCCCCGTATTTGTGTTCCCTCCACTGCACAGCTACGTGTCCGGGCAGTAGCAGAGTTTCATGACCAGACATCCGCCGGTCATATATGGGCTTCCACAAGGCGTTGGCTCGTGTGAGCCGCCTGTACGTCTGGCCGAAGCGCAAGGACTTTGTGAAGGACTAAGTCGCCGCGGTCATGATGCTATTCTGGTTGTCGTCGACCGCTTCACGAAGTGCGCACGCTTTGTTCCGTGCAGCTATGCCATCAGTGCACGTGAGGTCGTCGACATTGTGTTTGACCGAGTCGTGCGTAACCACGGCTTACCTCTGAGCATCATGTCTGACCGTGACCCGCGCTTTACCAGCCGATTCTGGCGATGGCTCCACGAGGTTTACGGCACCCAGCTCCGCTTCTCCTTGTCTTACCATCCCCAGACTGATGGTCAGACCGAGGTCACGAACAAGACTCTCGGAGGTATTCCTAGAAAGATTGTTCGTGACGACCAGCAATGGGATCTCCATCTTGCCCACGCGGAGATAGCCTACAACCACGCCGTCTCGCTAGCCACAGGGATGTCACCTTACTATTGCGACCTCGGCTATCACCCTCATGTTCCCGCGGACTTCCTTCGACCGTCACAGATGCACCCCAACACGAGTTGTCCCGCGCTGGATGATTGGGTTGCATACATGATGTCGATCATGAAGACCTCACATGAGCACATAGCCACTTCCGAGACTCGCATGGCAGCACGTTCGAACCGATCGAGGATGGATCATCCAGTCAAAGTCGGTGATGATGTGCTTATCGACGCCCGCCACTTACAACTCGAAGTGGACACGCTTCGCAAGTTTCGGTGTCGCTTCTTTGGCCCATGCCGCATTCTCCAGGCCGTCGGTTCTGATACGGCTTCTAGCCCGGTCAACTTCCGTGTAAAGCTGTCTGACTACCTACGCCAGGCTCATGTGCACGATGTCTACCACGTCTCGTTACTGTGTCCCTACCGCAGGCCGTCTGAGCGTTTCGCCGGACGACCATACGAGCGCTCTCCACCCATCATGGTGGACGACCACGAGGAGTTCCTCGTTTCAGACATCATTGGTCGTCGGCTCACCGACGACAACCCTCCTCATGTCGAGTATCTCGTACGTTGGAAGGGTTACCCTGATGAGGAGGCTACTTAGGAGCCCCTCGAGCACTTGCAACACGCTCGCATGTTGGTGCATGCCTATGACCGTGCTCGTCGTGCTGGGTTGACTGCTCCTCTCAGCCCAATGACCCTCCTTCTCCCTCGGCCGAGGAGACCGCTGCTCCATCTGAGGCAGACCTTCAGCAGCAGTCGGATGCTTCTGAGCATCCACAACGCACTCATCGTCGTCCTGCTCGATACGACGATTGACTCTGACTTATCTTCCCATGTCTTTGACTTCTCAGTACTCCATCCACTCCAATTTTGCCACTTCAGCTCGTCGACGTTGCGGCTCTTCCTCGACGACATTCCCCACTTCTCATCATGGACGTCATCGACAACTTCATGGACTTCGTCACGATCAGCTCTGCCTACTTCAGACGTTGTCACTCTCTTACCACCTTACCCTGTACAGTACCTTGGTTGTGTCGCATGATGGTCTCCCTTCGCCGGTTTCCTCTGAGTTGGGCTCTCCCTTGGTATACGCATAGGCATCGAGACCGTAGTGTTGCCTTGGCTTCCCAGCTTACGGATCCAGCTCCGACTTCCCCCACCTTAGGAGTCATTTGCATGATTCCCTTACCCATCACTTTTTCTACCCCATGCCGACCCTCACGCCCTAGTTAGGCAGCCTCGCATGCTTCATCTAGATGCGCCCAATACACCAGGCTCCCTTGTTCCCTTGCATGGTCGACCGTCCATAGCGGTCACACCTTTAGTCGAGCATCACCCGCCCTGATGGTCTATCTGTTAGGGTCATTGGTTCTGTTCGCTCCCAGTTCCCTACCCTCATTGAGCCTGATGACATGTGTCTCCCTGTCATTTTGTGTGGATGCCCTTAGGAGTTATTCCCCCTAGGCTGCATTCGCCACCCTCATAGACCATCTCACCCTTTGGTTCGCGACACACTCCTCCTGTGACATATGGTTGTCTTGTTGTTGCTTTGTTGCTCTCAGACTGAGGCTACTGCCTCTGACATTTCTAGGATTTAGTTGTTCTGCTTTTGCTATTCTTAGGACTTATACACTAGTCAGTTGTTTCCAAACTGAGGTTACTGCCTCCAACATTCTAGGATCTAGTTGTCATTACTTTCTGCTTTCCTAGGACATGTATCCTAGTTAGTTGCTTCTGCTTTCACTTAGGCTGTTAGCTGTGACATTGCTGTTTTTGTGACATTTTCTATCCTAGGTTGCACCACATGGACTCAGCATGGAGCTTGCTCCACATCCTAGACTACTCGGGCTTCTCTTTTCTTTGGTAGAGTTCCGCTTCTTGGTGGAAGCGTGCTTGTATCTAGGCGATCCATCACAGGCCGAGGATTGTGTAGCGGACCTCTCGTTGGCCTGTGAGACCAGCCCCTTGGCCTGTTCTCACAGGCCTGTGTTGTATTCGGGGTAGTCTAGTCCAGGCCGGTACCTCTGTCGGTACCAGCCAGTCCAGTCCAGTCCAGTCAGTCCGCTGGGGTATACCCCAGTTGTTGTCTGTTTTTTAGATCATTCTACATTCGCACATCTTGGAGTACGTGCGTCAGAGTCTAGCGTGGGAGCTGCGCTGTGCCATCTTGCTCCCCCTTCGTCCTCCACCTCCATCTCTGTCCAGCGGAGCACCACACCTGGTGGGTCCGCCACACAGATCCTATCATTCACCATCCATGGGAAGCGGTGGTGAAAGTGCAGCAAGGAGACCGCTACGCCAGGATGACTGATGTTGTGCCATGCCACATGAGAATTTGTGGAAATAGGTTCCAGGCTAACTTAGGCAGGGGTGAGAGGTGGTACATCCTTCCCTTGGGAAGCAATCAATGCCGCCTACTCGGACCTCCCAGCCATAATGGGGAGGAGCGTGCGTGAGTTTCTTTATGTAACTTTTTGACTTGCCGGCGGAATAGGAACTGGACTGTCGCTCCCCAGAATGGAAAGGAGCCAGAACCATAAAGTTCTGCATGCGCTATTAAAAAAAAAAAAAAAAAAGGATGAAGAAAAGGAAGGAGATAAAAGGATGATGGACATGAAGACAAAATCCTTGGCACAAAGAGTTCCCAAGGCACACAGAAATGGGAATGAAACGGGAATGAAACGGGAATGAAACGGGAATGAAACGGGAATCAGAGACAGCAGTCTAAGGTCATGTTGATTGGCTTCTCTCTGACCTTTTGCAGCGTAAGCAGAGAAATATTAGAAAGTCAAGCAGCACGCCCAACAAGTGGAAAACAGTCTTAACAGGCTAAGGTTCAACAGTCCTATGTCTTCCCCCGAACAGAATGCCCGGTCATTATAGCTGCATTTTGCCCGACTTTCAGTCCAGATGCGGTGATAATGACCGGGCGTTCTATTCGGGCGAAGACGGTAGTTCTGAACTTCTTGTCATGCAGCCATCTGAAAGGCTGAGAGGGACTGTTGAGAGAACTGTTTGGGGGCATGTTTTCTTAACGAGGACTAGTGTGTCAAGAGGAGTGGTTTTGACTTGAAAGTGAGGGTGTCAGTTTCCCATCTTGCAGTAATCAATGCTGTCTCAGGTTCTCCTGGCCGTAATGAGGAGTGTCCAAGTGCATTGTATCTTTTCTGTCTTGCCAAAGCAACAGACTTGTCCCCCCAGAATAGAAAGGAGTATCACAAATAAATAAATAAGAAAAGAAAAATCAAAACAAGGGTCCCCTGGAGTTCAATCCCCATGTAAGAGGAGCAATTGATCTATCAGCGGTTCCTTCGACTGGAATGGAAGGAAGGTGCATGCATATGTTGCATGCAATATCTGCGACTTGCCAGTGGAAAACGGACCAAACTGATGGCTTGCCAGAATAGAATGGAGCCAGAACGACAAGGGCCCTTTTCTTCGGAAAAAAGAAGAGAAACAGAACCTTCTATTCTGAATCACCTTGAGCAGATAGTTGCACCTTTGTTGTGGCCGACTGGTAGAGACATATACCTGTGAATAAAGAGGCAGTGAGTTTAAACTTTAAAATTTAAATCCCGACGGAGATAATGATGTCAAGGGACCAGCCCCTCTTTGGAAGGCAGATCTTGAACCCACAGCTCACACTGTCTGAAACACACAGCAGGAGAGAGAGAGAGAGAGAGAGAGAGAGAGAGAGAGAGAGAGAGAGAGAGAGAGAGAGAGAGAGAGAGAGAGAGAGAGAGAGAGAGAGAG